AGACCGTCCAAATCCACAGCCTCTTTTTTTCCGGTCTTCCCGGTCTACCAAGGACCCGGCCCTCCGAGACCGGGGAGTCTGGGTCCTCCGGAGGACCCGTCCTGTCGTTTTGGACACAGCCTATATTTGCCTATTTCTCCATATCCCACTTTTAGACTTAATCCTCCTTTCGACGTGAAGGGTCACATATTTCAATAAATCCATCGGCACAGGCACTCATTAGGTTGAATAAACCTTTTATTTGTCATTTTCTTACAACGTAATGTTTTTATTATTTGACTCCGTCTCAACAACACTTTGACAAAAAATTAAAATACAACTTAAAAATCCGCATATTGCTTAAATGCGTAGATTTGGATTAATGTTTAAATATATATAAATACATTTTTATCTTTGTATTTTGATGTATTTATTACCCAGTTAACTAAACGATTCACTTTGTGAGACCATGTTTGCGTCACAATACGATAAGATGTCAGTAAATCCTGAATTGGTCAGAAACCTGCAACATTTTGTGTTTATTTTATTTCCTGTCAGGATTCAGACTTGGAGGAGGACGTGGACGTGGAGGAGCTGGAGTCAGGAGAGCTCTCCAGCTCGGACACTGAGAACGACGTGGTGGAAGAGGTGAGGAAGAGCGAGCGGCTCTTCCTGCAGGAGGCAGGGGTGACGTTGTCCCAGCGTGGGCTGAAGCCGATCCCAGCACCTGAGCCGCTACCTGTGAAGTTCGACAACCGCAGCGAGTTCGAGCAGATGACCATCCTGTACGACATCTGGAACGCTGGTCTGGACGGCGAAGATTTGACGTACCTGAGGAAGACGTACGAGAAGCTGTTACAGGACGACCACAGCTCTGACTGGCTCAACGACACTCACTGGGTCAATCATACGGATATCCTTTCAATAATTCACATGGTTAGAAATAACTTGGAGCAAGGTTCATGTGATAATACAGTTTTTAATTAGTGTTGTCCTTGACTCACGAGCTGCACTAACTAATTTGCCGAACCCTCGTCATAAAAAGAAGAACGCAGGCGGGCAGCTTCGGGAGCACCTGACGGGATGYGCCAGGAGCGAGGGCTACTACGCCATCAGCCGCAAGGAGAAGGATGTCTACCTAGACCTGGATCTACCTGAGCAGGTCATTCGAGAAGTCGAGAACGTGGACACCTCCGTAAGTAAATGCTCAGTTTGCAATCCGAATACATGTTAAGAGAAATAACTGACTGACTTTCTTTAGTTCTTTAAATGATCGTGAAGGATTAAAAACTAGGGCTGGGTATCATGGCCAATTCTCTAAATCGATTCGATTTCGATCATAAAGTTTCTGTTCAATTAAAAAAATTATTAATTTCATTAAAAAATAACTATACAATACAAAACAAAGAAAATACACAAATCAAAAAAATCAAACTAAAATGAAAGGTAGCAGAAGAAGAATAAATCTTATAATGTCTGCTACTGCAGGCATTAAGTTCTGAATCTATTAATCATGATTTGATTCAATTCAGTTCAATTCAATGTTTATTGRTATTGAATATCACCATTTTTTCTCTTCAACATAAACAACAGGTTTTAAGGACAAACTTTTAAATTAAACCGTTTATCTTGAAAAAAACTGTCACAAGTTGAAAAGGTTTTAAAGTAAAAAGGAATTGCAGGTGACCGTGTTGTTGGAGGAATAAATTTTTAAGTAATTAATAATTATTTTTGATGAATAAGAAGTGATGGAATAAGGTTGTAGGAGGAGTGGTGGGCTAATATAAATATACTTCTGCCCACTCCTTTTGAACGTATGAAAACTGTGTATTTGTAATGTTTCTGCTAGCTTCTGTTATGTTCAATAAAAACATTAAAACTTAATGCATGTAACTTATTAAAACAATACAACTACAAAATTTCATCACTGTGGATCTCAATAAACATTTCTTAAAGTTTAAAATAATATTGGTAACAAACTGTTTTTTTAAACAAGTTTATTCATTTCATTTAAAAACAAAACAAATACATACAACAAATAATAAAACAACACAAATATAATGAAAGGTAGCAGAAAGAAGAAAAAAATTCTTATTGATATTTTCCCCTTTTTGTTGCTATTTTGTTAGAATGTCGTCTTTCACACATGTAAACATGCCGGTGGAGAACAGTTTCAGTCAGATGTTTACATACTGTTGTTTGGTTCAAGTGCCCAACGAGCCGCTCATCAAACCCTGCTTCGTTTCCTCTACCACGAAGGAGCACAAATATTTACAAACAAAAGTCACCATGGTCTCTGTTGTCTTTAAGCTCTGCTGAGAACCGGCTGATAATGTGAGTGATTCCTTAGTTTCTGTTGTTGATCTCCAGACAACTTGTTACTGAAAGCTAATGTTAGCGCTGAACGTCAACCGGAAAAAAATATACGGCAAGCCAGGAGTGACAAAATATAGAAACGTGTGTCAGATGCACACACAAGACACCATGGGGAAGAACCGATCTCATGTCCTGTGAGTCGATTTCCCCACATTTAAATGAAATCGATCCAAGATCGATTAAATCGATTTTTTTTTTAAATACCACATTGTAGAACTTTTTCTAATTGACAGGAACTTCAGCTTAATTCAACAGAAGTTATTTGGTTCAGTAAAACTATCAGTAAAAAGCTTCACACTTTGCTGTTTCTTATTAAGAAACGCTTTTATAGTTTAAAGATTGTGTTTTCTTAAGTATAAGATCTTTTGTATATCAGTATTACTCCTTAGCCTTTACACATTTAAACATGTTTATTTAATGTTCAGTAAATGATCTGATGTCAAACCAGTGGGAATGCCTTCAGGGAYGAGAATTTAACTGAATTATTGAGTGGAATTTCTGAGAGAATTCCTGTGGAGTGGAGGAGGAGTGAGTTGCTGCTCGTTTTTAAAAACTGGTGTTCAGAGTTGATGAGTCTGGATGTTTCTGACTGTAAAACCAAATATTGGCTTAAACTAAATCATAATTATTCAACTTTAACTTGACTCTGCTGTTGTGTTGGACTCATCTCTACTTTGTTTTACTGGTTCAGAAGTGAATCCAAAAGATACGTTTCTGTGATGAATGACACAGTTTAACTTTGACAGTGAGATGTTTTTAATTTGGTTGGAATGCTTTGGTTAAAAAAAATTTTCCAGTTTTTTTCCGCGTGGATTCAGATCATTTGAACATTATTTCAATCCCATTTTACTGTGAGGATAAAATAATAAAAACTAGTCAAATAATGAGCATTGAAACAAACTTCTAACGACTCCTTCTGGTCTAAAGTTTGGTTTAAAATGTTTCTAAAACCTCAAACTGAACATGAAACAAAAAAAAAACGTTTCTTGAGATAAACTTGGCTTAGTTGTGAATTGTTTTGTTTTTTTCAAACGAAGTCTTTGTGTTTTGAAATGTGAGGTGACGAGCAGAATGATGCACATTGGCTCGAGTATAAAACCAGTTTTGCATCATCTCTGTAGGACGTTAAACAACACTTCAGCAACAAGACGTCAGGATTCTTTTGCAGAAGTTTATTTAGTAACCTGCTGTTACAGCGGCTTAAAATGTGCAACACCTTTCTGATACAATACAGATGAAGTCTGACATCAAAAACTGCACGAATTCCTGCAACTAAAATTCTTTTAAGTTTGTCTGCAGGAATCATTGTGTTCCTCTGAGCCGTGGAAGATTTGTTTTTACTTTGTTTAAAAGTTGTTTAGCTTTCTAAGTTTCTTGCTACCTTTTCATATCTTTGAGAAACTTTAAAWATTAACATGATAATTTAGTGTTTTACATTATATTTACATTAAACTAGATTATAGATACCAGACATTTAAAACAACTTTAGAGCCACTGTTTCTGATTCTCTCTTTAAATAATGTAGAATTTTATCAAAGGGTGTACTTATTTCTCCTAATATTCTTATATTGTTTCGTTCTTATTAGCACACGTCTTAAATATCTCTGTTTTTTAATATTAGTAGGTAAATGTTTCGCCACAGCAGCTGTTACGACACACTCACTGTGTGACACATATTTTGTGATATTTTCCATGGAACTCATGGATCCAATGTTGATTCAGCTGTTTCCAACACGCTTCTTGATTGTTAGGAAAAGTTGTATCAAAAGCGAAGGGTTAGTCATTTGCAACAGTTTTGTTTTATTTAGTTTTGTTGCTGTGTAAAGATTAATTAGCTCCTAAAATGTTTAACTTTTATAACCTTGTTACATACTTTTTTTGGCTGGTTCTCTTATAAAAATCTCAGGGTTAAATAAACACCACATTTTGAGCTTTCTAAAGACATTTGAGCTGTTACACAGCAGCAGTGGTTGTGTTAGGTAGCTCACAGCCACATGTACATGTTCACATGTTTTCAATGAACAGAAGAAGGATTCAGCTGCAGCCTGGAGATAAACAGAGGGTGGAGGTTTTGTCTGGCGATGCCTTAAAATCAAGATTTTAATAAAGCCGAACAGCAGCTTAATTTAAAATAACCTCTTTTTCTGTCAGTTTTAGACTTTTTTGTTTATTTGCAACAACAAAAAAGATGAGAGCTGAAGACTCTGCTGTCACTACAGTCTTCTTTCACGGTCGTTATGTGTTTTATTTAATGAGTTAAATATGGCGCATATTAAACGTGTCATTTGTCCGTCAGTTATCCTGCTGATTAGTGTTTGTGTCAATGAGTTTTTTTATAATTATTGTTTAGTTAAAGACTTATTTCACTGGTTGATATTACAATAAGTTGGTGCTGCAGCTGATTTAAATTGTCTTTGTTCCATCAGTGGGCAAAATGGTGCAGGTTCTCCCTTCAAACGTTTCCAGACACTACTGGGTTTTTTTTTTTACAACGTTGTCACATGACTTCCTCTGGTTCTTACCTTTAGCATGACACATTTACATAAATAAAAAGTGTCAATAGGAGGCTTTTAACAAGGTTTCTGCCAGGTCTTAAAAATGTCTAAAATTTGAAAATCCAAATTCACTAAATTTTTGTTCTCAAGTCTAAAATCATTTTAAATAGGTATTAATTTTCTAACACCCATGTAACGCTACCTCAAATGCTCAATAAGATTTCCTGCAGCTAGGGTTGGGCATCGATTGAATTTGAACAACTCCAGTTCCTCATTTGGATTCTGGTTCCCAGTGATTCCCAATTTGTTGACTGTGAGAATTGAAACATTAGTCCCAGTTCCAATCGAGACTCGATGCCCAACCCTACCCACAACACTTATTTATTGATTTAAATAGTAACAACTGCAAACCACATTGCAGACAATCAGCTTTCATGTTATTGGCTGGTCCACATCACAGACAAGTTTGGCCTTGGGAGTAAACCTATGTACAGAGGGAACATGCTAACTTTGTCCAGAAAGATCCCCGGCCAGGATTTGATCAGGCAACCTTACTGGGAGGCAACATCTCTACCAACTGAGCCACCATGCCGCCCGAGTTTAAAGCATTTCTTTTGCAAATTTCTGTATGTCGTGATATATGTCTTAAATTTAAGTCTTAATGATCTTTAAAAGGTCTTAAAAAGTCTTAAATTTGTGTTTGTGAAACTTGCAGAAACCCTGTTTTAAGGAATTTCAGGGGGAAGTTCATGGGATAACCCTTTTTTTTTTTTTTTAAAAGCGGAAACTTCCTTCCACAGCTGCATATATCTGTCACTTCCTGTCTTATTTCTGTCTGCACTCGGGTTTCAAAATGAACTTCAACCACACTAGCATGACTTGCTAAAGCAGGTCATGGTGCATCTAGACTCAGTGCCACCTGATAAACCTTATTGTGACCTCTGAAGCTTTGTGTTTCCCTCCAACAGGGAGCGAACCGCCTGCTATCAGAGCGGCGTTCAGAGCAGCGCCGGCTCCTCACGGTCATCGGAACCACCGCCGTCATGGACTCTGACCTTCTGAAACTCAACCAGCTTAAGGTATAATCCACCGTCAGCTGTCGTCACGCTCATTTCTTTCATACCAACTTTGATTTATTGGTGATAAAATTCAAAAATCCTCTTTTAAAACACCAGATGGTGTTTTGTGCAGCGTCTGGTGTTTGTGAAATCTAAAACTAAGGTCATGCAAAGCCAGAGTCATCAATAAATGTCAAATATAGAACTTCTATATTTGAGTTTTTTTTTACCAGAAACACACTGAGTCGGGGGGAGGTCCAGTTTTTAAGTGCAGAAAACATCATTGATTTATTTTTAATTATTATTAATAAAATCATGAACTAGTTTCAGTTCAGAGGTAAAAGTTAACTTTAGTGTAAAGACCCCGGTGTACCCAGGAGAACATGCACACCTCCATGGTGGGAGGTGAACCTGTGACCTTCCTGCTGCGAGGCGCCAGCTCTAACCACTGTCCCCCCCAACCTTTAACAYGTGTGTCGTAAGTTGAACGCCATCAGGGGTTTAGCTGAGTCCTGTTTGTCTTCACACAGTTCCGAAAGAAGAAGCTCCGTTTTGGACGCAGCAGAATTCACGAGTGGGGTCTGTTCGCCATGGAGCCCATCGCTGCTGACGAGATGGTCATCGAGTACGTCGGTCAAAACATTCGACAGGTAAACCATGGAATTAGTGCTGGGTGGTATGACCCAAATTTTATATCACGGTTTTTTCAACGTTTACACTGGTTTCACAGTATATCACGTTATTTTTCTTTTCATCACAGGTTAACTGTTTTAAAATATATACAAACGCTGCTTATTAACTTTTTTCTTTTACTGTACCTCTGTCCGTGTCGCTGTTTCCCTCTATGTGTCTTTTCTTCTCTGACTGGTGGTTGGAGACAGTAGTCACGCATTTTGGTCCAGTTGTGAAGGAGGAGGGTTGAGAAAAGATCATCAGGGTTCCTGTGGATCCTTAAAAAGTCTTAAAAGGCATTGAATTCATCAATCCAAAAATAAGGCCTTAATTAGCTTTAAAAGATCTTAAATCAATCTTTCAGAAGTCTCTAAAAAATTTTAACACATTGTGAGCAGGATGATTGTAATTCATCTCAAATATTAAACAATTGGTAACATTTATTTATCTTTTTAAATAATGGACCAAAGGCCTTGCGCAGCTCATTGTTTTGTGCTAAAATAAACATTTGGGTAAAGTTGTCGCTGTTTTTTTTCCCCCATTTGTTTTTATTGTGAAGTTGGTCTTTAATTTTATTTTACGTGGCATTAAAGAGGTCTTAAAAAGTCTTAAATTTAACTTGTTTTAAGCTGTATGAACCCTGATCATTATCGGGTCTATTGTTTTATGTTATTTAATAAAACTTAAAAGGACGGCAATTCAATTCCACTACAAAACTTTAAAAGCACGCTAAAGTCTCCGTGCAGTATCTCCATTTTAATGTCGTTAAATCTAACCGTGCACGTCACTGAAGAGGTGTTTACTACATTCAGCGATGGTGAAAACGGGATGTTTCCTCTTTAACGTCAGTCCGACGCCACTTACTACAACAAGCTGCGCCACTTAGCATGCTTGTGCACATAGMGGTGCTGCAAGGAAAAGTGTCCCCCGGGAAACAGTTCTCCGGCAGCCGCGGCGAAACGCTCCGCACGTGTTCAGGCTATTTAAACCGGTGTGTCCGGTATTCAGAAAATTCATATCATAAAAAACGGTATTTGGTACGAACCGGTGTACCGCACAGCACTACATGTGACGCAGCTGCTGCAGCTCAGTAATGGCTGATATTCTAATAAAAATCTGACAGTTGATGCAGGTTTTTAGGTTTTTTTGTTGTTGACCTGGTTTCTGTAACAACGTTTTCTGATTTTCCAGATGGTGGCTGACAATCGAGAGAAGCGGTACGCCCAGCAGGGCATCGGGAGCAGCTACTTGTTCAGAGTGGACCACGACACGATTATAGACGCCACCAAGTGTGGCAACCTGGCCCGGTTCATCAACCACTGCTGCACTGTGAGTCCAAACCCGCTAGGACGTGTTACAAAATGTAAACGTTGTTTCTGGTGTTTTAGATTCTGAATTCGTTTCTTTTTTTCTTTCAGCCAAACTGCTACGCCAAGGTTATAACCATCGAGTCCCAGAAAAAGATCGTGATCTACTCAAAGCAGCCCATCGCAGCCAACGAAGAGATTACCTATGACTACAAATTCCCTCTGGAGGACAATAAGATCCCCTGCCTGTGTGGAACGGAGAACTGCCGTGGGACGCTCAACTAGTGAAAGCACTTCTTTTTCTCACTTGCCAACGGCCAGCCGGACCCTGTAATCCCAGCTGTTTGACCCTCCTCAGAGTTCAGCTCCAAACAAAGCCGCCCCGACCCCCCTGGGTTCCCTTCTAATGGCCTCAGTAGTTTTCACAAGAAGTAGGAAACAGTGTCGCACACACTTGCACTTTTCACGCACACTCTTCATGGACTAGGCTTTTCTGAACGCCGCAGTGTGATGGGGGGTTGTGTTTTCTAATATGTGAACATTAGAGGAAGTCCTGAACGTTGGACTTTTTGTGGCAGTATTGGACTACAACAGGCATGGGCAGTCCTGGTCCTGGAGGGCCGCAGCCCTGCGTGTTTTACTTGTTTCTCTGCTCCAACACACCTGATATGAGTGAATAAATGATTAACAGGCTTCTGCTTTACGGAGGACCAAAACTGACTTAATTAGAAATAAAAGAATCATATGAACCACTAAATAAATACACTTAAAATGCACCAATTAAATTTAAAAAGGAGAACGTTATCTCCTGTTTTATATTTTAATTGACTTTCATATTTATTTTTCCAGGTAAATTCCAATAAAGTAGTCTATTTGAACACATAAAATAAATTTTACTGTTTTTTTAAAAAATGTATATTAATTGTTTTTCCTTTTACTTGTACATGCATTTGTGTCTTAAATGTTTATACTTAATTGTTTTTATATTTTTTTCCATCAAGTCTTTTTATTTCTATGTTTTGCATGCTTGTACTGTGTCAGTTTAGCTAAAAGTTTAAAGTTTAGTTTAAAACAAAGGCAAGGAGGAAAACATTACCTGTGCGTTTATTTTTAACTAAACTTTTAGCTAAACTGCAGCAGCACAAGCGTGCAACACAGAAATAAAAAGACTTGTTGGACAAAATTATTAAAATACTTTAAGCATTCAAGAGACAAATGCATGTACAAAGAAAAACTAATATTAAAAAAAACATTAAAATTTAAATTATATGTTAAAATATATAATTTATGGGAACTAAGCTGGAAAAATAAATTTTATGGTCAATTAAATTATAAAACATGAGGTAAAGTTCTCCTTTTTAATTTATTTGGTGCATTTTAAATGTATTTATTTATTTAAAGGTTCATTTATCTATTTCTGCTTTTATTTCTAATTATGTCAGTGTCGGTCCTCCACACTGCAGAACTTGGAAGAGGTAGTTCAGTGACTGAATCAGGAGTGTTGGAGCAGGGAAAAAGGTAAAACATGTAGGGTTGCGTCCCGTCTAGGACTATGATTGCCACCCCTGGACTAAAATAAATAAAAAATGTCCCAGGTGAGTTGTCTCTTCGATCCAGGCAGCAAAGGCTTTTTGTATTTCCACGCCAACATCCGTTTAAAAAAAACAAACAAACAAAAAAAAGATGATGATAAAACACTGGTGTTCTGTGTCAGTTTGTTTTCTACAGCCTCTGTTCAGTCCCATCGAGTCAAACCCTTCCTGCCCCCCCATCCCCCCATCCCCCCGCACACGACTAAAAACATCCGCACACGACTAAAAACATCCGCACACGAACGCACAGAATCACCAGAAACATTCAGGGTTTTTAAAAAGCGCTCATTAAAGGTGCAGTTTTAAATTTTCCTCACGTTTATTTTCGGTTATACAAAATTTCAAATTGTGAAGGTTGTTTTGGAGCTTTTGTTTTTTATTTCTATACGTTATTAAAATACTATTCTTGCTGTTAATAATATTAATAATGTTCAGCTGTGAGGGCCTTACAGTGAGCTGTAGAGACCCATCATCTGTCTTCAGTGGAACCAGCTGTACTGAACTGTTTTCTTCCATTGTGAGTAACTTCATGATTTACAACCACCTCTTATTAGATAAGTGTTTATTTTTTTGTTTTTTTGCGGAGGTTTACCTGTCCAACCAATCAATTGGCCTTTTTCCCCTCAAGACTCTGCTTCTCACTCCTCCATTGACTCGTGGCCCCTTTCCTGGAGAATAGAGAAGTTATTTTCACTCTCAGATATCGGCACTGGTGAAGGCAGTATTAGGAAGTTATTTTAAAGTCAGCTTGCAGATTTTAGTTGGCGTAACTTCAACGCGATCAGAGCTGCGACATTTTCTTTGTTTCCTGGCCATAACCTCCCACTTTCACTCAAAATACAAAATCAGGTTTAAACCAAACATTGGCTCATTTAATAGTAACGTTTGCCTTTATGTCTTTGCATTTTTTTTTCTTTTATAGTTATTAATTCAAATAGTAAATGTCAGCGTCTTGTTCCAAAAGCGATGAAGCATCCTCCACAAACCCGTTTTAACCAAACCGCTGCAGGTTCCAGTCAAACTGTGTGCTCAGAGTTGGGTGTTTATTCCGTGTGCTGCAGATGTTGCTACATATTTGCTTGAAAAGGTCAGATATCTTCAAAAAGTTAATATTTTTTTATTTTTAGTTGATTTTTTTTTTAAATTCTGGCTTTACCAGAACTGATTATTTATTTTATCTGAGTGTGTGAAGCCGGTAATCTCACCCCAATCATCTCTTAAAGTTGTGGTAATGAACAGATGTGTGTTTGTAGTTGGGTGTCTGACTGATTGTTGCACTTCAACCTGAGAGAGAGGGGGGGTCTGTGAAACGTGTCGTCTCTGTTTTCAAATGGCCGTGGCCGTCCAAAGTTTAACTTCAACTTTGAAACTTTTTAACTAGACTCCTTTTTTTTTTGTTTTTTAATTTTTTCCTTCCCTCCCAGATAGAAAAAAAAGTGTTATATAATGCTTGTTGATACGACAGCCTTTCCATACCAACCCTATTTACTACAGGACAAAAAGATGAAAGGAAAAAAACAACGTGTAAATAATGTAGAGGCGTTTGTTTCTCGTAGAAACACACTGATTCCGAGCTGTAAATATATCGTTCCTTTTCCTCTCCCCATGAGGAGGAAACGTGTACATACCTTTCATTTATTTTTTATTGTTTTACCTTTTAATTTGACGATTTTAATATTATTTGCAATATTTCTCTTGTATTAATGCGTTGGACCCTTTATTAATGGTGCATTAAAATATTTTTTAAATAAAAATCTCATTGTTGTTTTTCTATTTTGTGTTTTACCGCAGAAAAAACGTGAGTTTTGTGCTGTTTGGAAAACATCTGTTTGAAAGGTTTTCTGTTGCCAAGAAAAAATTAGATCAGTAACGAGTCGACAGGAATGTGTAAAAACAAAACTGACAAATCTGCTGCATTTTGTGAAAGGAGGAGGAAGGGAAAAGGGAGTAGGGCTCACGGAGCAGATGTTGACCTCAACTGGAAAATCCCTACATCTGAATGGGACGTGTTTTAAACATCGTGCCTAGCTACGCTGGCGTTTTTAAAGTTCACACTTTAACCAGAAGTGAGCTGCAGACACGACCTGGAAAAGATGAGAGTTTGAGGTCAAAGTACTTCTAGAGTTTCCTCTGAGTCACAAAAAGACCTGTGTCAAACTGAACCACCGTCAAGTGGCTGTGAAGGGGAGACAAGGTTTTCTATTTAATGCAGAATGAAGTACAGGAACTCTGAAAGCAGTCCTCTGTTTTCTGCTGGCTGAGTTATAGGGAGGGTTTAAAAAAAACTTCTAATCTTTCGTCTTTACTTTTATCTTGGGTGTTGCAGACTTTACACCCAACCCACCTTTTTTCTGTTTGTCTTTAAGTTAAAGACCTAAAAAGCAAACTCAAATAAAACTGCCAACATGCACAAATTATTTAGAAAATAAAATGACATTTTCACTTGTTCTTATATAAGCTTCAAGGGACGTGATCTGCTTTCTTTTCAGATGACGCTCGATAACTGACAGTTAAACTTTAGGACTTTCAGGTGTTTACAGGTTGAAGTCCTGACAAACTGGCTACAGCACAGATTAAAAGTTAACTGTGATTTTAAATCTGCTTTTYATTTTAACAAAAGATACCAGTAAGTAAACAAAGTGTTGATTTATTGATTTTAACTGGCAGCTGGCTTTATTATAAACATATTAAGAGGCGCCCCTGGATTTCCAGTGTAAAAATCTGAGATTACKCATTTCTTTTGTTTGCCAGAAATCATTATTTTTATTGTTTTAATATTTATATTTGTATAAATACTAATTCCTTATGAAATGTTGAAATACCAAATCAAGGCTGTAAC